CTCGAAATCGTGGCCGAATCCCCGCTCGGCCCCCTGTAACGCTTCGCTGCCTAGCGCAGCGGCCCTTCCCCGGAGAAGGGAGGCGGTTACCGGTGACTGGAGGCACTCGAAGGCACGTTCACGCTGCTGACCTCTGCCAGGAGACACGGTGTCCGGGCGGGCCTGGCTTGTCCAAATAAATCGAGTGTGCTGAATATCCCGGTACAAAGGTATTCTTAGCTTTCAGTTGGATGAGGGTTTGCGGAAATGCACCAGAAGGTTGTACCCGGACACCGCAGGAGACGTCCTGCTGGGGAACCGGGGTTCTCACTAGGAAGAGGAGTCCTTTTACATTTCATAGTATTTTGCATGCTAAAATAAGTGCCTGTAGGCAAGCACAGGGTTTTTTTTTTTTTTTTTTTATGTAACGTGCAGGAGGAGGAAAGACAATCCTGTAAGAAAAAGCAAGTAAACCGCACCCTATTTGTGTACTGAACTGCCTTTGCTAGAGCGTTAATATATTGTATCTCAGAAACAGTTCCTTAAAGGACACGCATGGCTCAAATGAAACTCAGGCTTTAGTGTGAATGTATACTTTTCATACATACCCAACAGTGAAAACACCAAAGTATTTGAATAATTAACTGCAGTGAAGGAAAAAAATAATTTTTTTTAATTCATATTTTTGCCAGTGCTTACTTTTTAAGGTAACTAGTAATGCAGCAATTGACCATAAAAAGACTTCAGAGCAGGTTTAGAAGCTAGTTTATCATTGTCTAAATTAAAGAGTCTTTGTAGTTCTTAGGAAACCTGTATCCTAGCTCTTCTCAAATAAAGTGTAGTCCAAATCTTTCCTTTATATTATTTACTAAAAAGAGCCAGTATCTTACACATGTGAAAAAAAGGACTCAGAGCACCTTAGAAACAGAAAGACCTCAGGATATCCCTCTTAGAACCTCCTCTACAAGATAAGTGTATCTACTCCATCCTTGGCAGATGTTCGCTTAAATTCTCAGGAAAACATCTATGAAAGACATTCCACAATTTCCTTAGTAACCTCTTACACCAGTCCTCTAGTACTGCTAGGGAGCACTCTCCATTTGTTTGGGCAGCGTAACACTTTACCTGTGGTGACTCTGGAATCTCCTGCTTCCGAATATTTTCAGTGGTTGGACAAATATGCGTAGAGTATGCTCGGTACACACTTCATTCCGCCTTGGTGCAAGCAATTGTACTAAGTCTCTAACTACATTTCCTCAGATGACAAAGTACTAAAGTGTGATTCAGTGAAGCTCCTTAATTTAGAAAAGGTAATGTGTTCATTCAAACATCTGTGAAAAGCCCCTTAAAATAACTTTTAGTCTGATTTTGTTATTAGGCTTCAGTGTTTGGCCCAATATAAAACAAAACTAGTCAGTTAGGGTATTTTGTCAGAATAAAATCAGAATACAGAGTAACAGAAGTAAAAAAAAAAAAAAGAAAAAAAGAGAACTCATTGCTTAACAAAACTGACCTATTTGTATTCACAAATTGACCTATGACAGATAAGAAAAAGCAGTGCAGGAGAAGAATAACTGTTCTGCTGTTCACATTTCAAGACATGCTGTAGGAATTACAAAACCAGTTGAAAACACTGATATGAAGATATTTATTAGTTCTTTGTTTATCACATTCTTGTATCTGTCAGAATATCTCATGCCATATTGAACTCAATTACTACAATACACTTTCTTTACTGTACCATTAAAGAAGTACATAAGATTTTAGGATAAATCAAAACAAAGATATTATAAAAGACCTTTTACAATGTGCAATGAACCAAAGAGATTAATGTAAAGAATTGAAATATTAAGATACAGAGTTACAGGTAAGTAAAATATTACATATATGAAAAATCAAGACTTACTAATTATAAGACCCTTTATTTCCATATCTTTAAGTGTGTGACTATGAGAATTATTATTCAGTGATAATGTAAGATCAAATGTCCTCACTTTAAATGTTTTATGTAAAACTGCGAGGAAAGCTAACTCTATTATCTTAAAGAATGATGTGATTAAATATTTTAAGTAGAAAGAGAATTGATGTTAGGTAAACTTGATACCCAGTATCTTCTTCGTGGCAGAGTCCCAGTCTTTCCCAAGTTCAAGTCGATAGCAAATAGATGGAAATCGCCTCTCAACTCTTCTTACCCACTCTATTGCTTTCTTGATCAACTCAAAAGCCCAGTGAACACCACTGTGTGTAGAAATGAAGTTTTATTATAATAAAATCTTGTAAATCCACCAAGAGAGCAAGAGGAAAGTAATTTCTTCTAACAATTATTATTTGAAAGAGAAAATTTTCTATATTATGGTAATCTATCCTGTATAAAGTATCATCTGATGCAGAAAACATCATTATCTGTGCCGCCCTATCTTTTTAGAATCTTCCACATGGGAAGTATGTAGACTTATCATTACTTGCATTTATTTGCACTATTCCAATCACTATACATTTCATAAAGGTAAACTTGACTCCTCCTTTGTACAATCACATATGTTAGAATTTCTTTCATCAAGCAGTCAATGCAATTTTATTTGTATTCCTGACTAGCCAAAATTATACAACCAATTTTTCCCTCTGTCAAGGAGTTTCAAAAGAGGGAGTAAGATTTCCAGGGTGCTCCGACTGTTTCTTTATCCTGTTCCTACATGCTCTGTAAAGTACGAAGTGTGTAAACCTTCCCATTTTGGCACAAGGAGTCTGTTGGTGGCTGGGGCAATCCAAGTTCACTGGAGGCCTATTCCTTCCTGCTTCTTTGTGTTTCCTGTATACAAAAAAACTTGGCAACTGATAATTGTTCACTTTGCCCCCAAAGAAAGGGAATTTCCAGACACAGGGACCCTATATTCAAAAGATAATAGAGCACCAGGACATAGAGAAGTGAAGGGTGCGGGGTTCAGAATGAGCCGGCACCAGCATTCCTCACAGCTGAAGGAAAGGGTGGAAACTGTGCTGTGAAGAGTCATCTGCTCTAATAATATCAAAACTCTTGTCCAGAATATTTTATGGTATATGCTTCTGAAGAAAACCAAGCCATAAATATATTCCTAAAAAGAGTGCAGGCCAACAGGCACAAGATAAATGAAGGAAAAATCTGATAGAATTTTTTTTTCCTAATTTCAAAAATAAGTGATATCGAACACTGGAAAAGAATGCCCTTAAAGTTGAGGTTGATGAATCTCCATCCTTAAAGATATTTAAAACTCAGCTGGGGAAGATCCTGAAAAACTTATCCAACATCTGAGTTGGCCCGCTTTACAGAAGAGATGACCTCCAGAGGTCATATCCAACCTGAGTTATTCAATGATTCTAATAAGTAGTATAAAATATCTTTTACTACTTTCTATACTTCTCAATTTTTGTATCATATTTTGCAAAGTATTCCTTCCTCCACCCACCCTCTTAAAAGAAACCACATGCCACCAATCTGATGAATACCTTCCATTCCCTTTTCTACAGCCATATCCTGTAGTATAGTGATTGACTCTCCAAAATGAAATTAGTCTTCTGTATGTTGAGAAGGTTTACATTACTACATTAAATGATAAGATTTTATTTAAAAGCACACCTTGAATTAGATGATTCATCCAGTTTCATCAGTGTTTTGAAAACTATCCCTTTCAATTCCTTTGTGCAGCGTATGAACTGTAGCACAAGAAGAGTAGCAATCAACTTCAGTAGCATTTCTTTTCCATTTGGGCCTAAGGAAGAAGAAAAGGGAAGCTGCATTACTATTTAAATGATTTCTTGACAACAGAAAAGGTGCTTTCTGCAAACTACTCCACATTACTTTAAAACATCAATTGTCCTAATGCTATTTAATTGTTTCATTCACATTAGTGATTTGACAAACATGCTCCTGGCTTTCAAATTTAAACTTCGTAATGCTTTGTTGGGATCTCTGCAGTTTGTGTTTCCTTGGGTTCTAATCTACTTTGATTTTAATATAAGCTACAGTGGGAAACTTGTAAGATTTTTGTCTTTTCATGAAGCATTGCACCCTCTAACAATTTAGAAAGAAGGAATTGCCTTTTTTTCCCCGTAAGTTTTCTGGTCTGCTGCCAGCAAAGACCACCAATTGACAGAATCATACAGCAGAATGCGTATAGATGGAGTGCATACTGAATGCTGCTCTGCGTGTGTCTGTGTGCGTGTGTCTGTGTGTGTGAATATATTCATATTATTTGAAATGTGAAAAGCAGAAGTGGTCTCTGCCTCTCTCCTAGGAGAGGCTTTTCTTCTCTTTTTTTCTTTAGTAGCTATTAATATAGCAGACACAATAATTGAGATAAAAGAACCTCTGTTGCTACTCCAACTATCTCACATCCTCCACACATTTCTCCAGGAGATGTGCTTAGCAATCAGGACACAACATTGTGAGAGAAGTTGAGAAAAAAACTGTATTATTAAAATCAGGCACTTTTGAGAACTTTAAGTGAAGAGATCCATGTAAATTCTGAGCATATCTTATTGAGAGTTCTACTATACATATAGAGTAATAACACATACAGATAGGAAATATCTGTATGTACTGCTTTTTAATGACAGAAAAATATTTACCAAGTGACTGAATGCCTTTTCTAATAAGGAAATTGTTAATTAAATCATCAGCATCAAAATTCAAGATTTTTCCCAACTGTGGACTGAGATTCCAAGAACCATCCTATGGAATAAACAAAGATATGGATAAGCCAAAGATTCAGGACACTGAAAACATATTTGGCAAGAAAAAAGAACACATAGAATTACTTTATTTTTTTAAAAAAGCTTATACAAACACAAACCCTGAAATCCACATAATGAATTTAGGTGATTCAAATATTAAACTTCAAAACCCTTTGATATACCATCAAATGTCTGTAATTGACCTGGAATGTTGTAGTTAGCCTACCTTGTAAAAAAACCCTTAAACATTAACAACAAAGTCATTTTGAAATCACTCCCATATAAAGTATGCACAATGACAACACTAGCCTTTTCAAATTTATTTCAAACAAATTCCTTCTGAAAATTATTTTTAAAGGTGCTAAAAAAATAAGCATTCCTTTTACTCAAAAGAAACAATAAAGGATCCCTGTCCTCTGCTGAGAATGCAAAGTCTCTATAAAATTATTTTTACTCTATACGTTATTAAATGCACTATTAACAAAACCAATCCTATTTTATCTGACTTTTCCTGCCAAAAATTAGAAAACTCTCAATTAAAATTATCTGCCAAATGGTTTGCTAACCTCAGGTTAGATGGAAGAGAAGCTTTTAACAGGATGTTCATGTACTTACTCTTCAATATTTAATACTTTTGAAACTTTATTTGCCCTTGCAGCTTTATGTCTTAGAAAACGGTAACTGTAGACACAAATTTATAACCCTTTGTTTAAGGTAATTTAGAAGATAATACATGATTTAAAAGGGATGTTTAGATAGTAATTATCCAAATTATGTAAAAAGTGAAAATCTATAGAATATTAAGTTTAATTAGTGTAAAAAACCATGAGAAATTTTCTTTTTAAAATTCAGCAATTGGATGTTCTGCTGAAAAAGAACTCTTGCGCTGCAGTTCAGGAGTTAATTCCCACAAGAGTCAATCACAAGTCCACTACGTTAATTCCCATGGTATCCATGTGGCATGTGGTAATGGTTCAATGTTTAGAAATAATTTTATAAAAGTGTCCTGTCAGAAATATAGGAAAAATATGTATCTCTTTTTAATGCTGAGGTTGGCTATACTTTACAACTTTCACATACAACCTTCATACATAAAATAAAGTTAATTACACACAGAAAGAAGCAGTGCTTTAAAAAAATAGCAAGAAAGTGTGATGAGGATGCAAATACTAGGTGGACTCTGCTGCACAAAGGAACATGAAGCTGGGGCACCTGGAAGACTTACTGAATCTAGTGTACAGGGCGTACTCCTAGCAAAAGGGAATTCAACATACCCCCAATGGGCCAATCTCTGCCAAAAAATGACAGGAGTCTCCACTGAGGGCATCCCACGGTGGCTTCTTCGCTTGGATCATGTAAAACTCTTGAAAACGTTATTCTGTTTATTGCTTAGAGATACTGACTGTGCAAGCCACTACCTGATTGTTGATCATGACCTCACCCCTTAAGTCGGCAGGGTCACCAAACTGGCAATACTGTTATGCAGGACAGGGACTTCTCCCACCATGAGGGACATAGCAAACGTAACAAAACTAAACATTACCTGCTCTGACTCCTACCTGCAGGATTCTTGGCTAGTACAATTTCCTTCAGTTTCCCTAGCAATTGGTCTGAATGTCCAGGGGAAGTTCCTGCTGCAACATCTCTCAGTCCAATCCTCTAAAACCCAACTAGTTTTTATTTTCTTGCATAATGGGCATTATTTGCATCCACTTCTTCCACTTACCTTCCCCTCTACGTTTTATACTTGTCCCAGGAAGCCCCCAACCTGCAAACTGATGGAGGCTGTAAAAAGGTGCTGGAGGTGTATTACTACCTGTCAGCCCTCATTTTATACTGTTCCTCACATAACCCATTGCTGAGTTGCCCGTGAAAGCAATAAAACATAGCATGACTAATGTCAGCACATACTTGTAAAATCTGTTTATAAACATTTTATAAATGTATTTTACTTTATCTCCGGACAGGATTAAAGTAAAAATATTTTTTCCTTCTACCTATATTTTAAGTAATGCACAAATAGACTATGGGTACTGTACCTGATTTTGGAGTGCAAAAATTTCTTTCCAGTTGACAGAAGACAACAAAATTCTCTGTTGAATCCTTTCTTTTTCTGTTGTCATAAAACATCTTGATTGTTCCTGCAGAGAATAATGTTCACTAAGAATCTTACGACCATTACCCATGCAGCTACTACATCATGATACAAAATAATTGCATTTAAAAGTTTAAAAAACACTCCTCTTTTTAAACAGAAACCTCTTTTTCTGGTTGAAAAAGTTTCATTCTCTCTCATTTAGGAAAGGATTTGCACAAACATCAGCTACAGCTGGACAAAGTTCCTGTTTACAAAATTACATGGAGTGAAATAATTCAGAATTAGTGAGACTTTTTTTCTCTTTAATCAAAACTGTATGTCTTCTTGTATTATGCACATTATCATTATACTGTCATTTGTATGTTCAAAATGAAACATTATTGTTTAAAAGAAAAATTTCTTAGCCTCTACCTTATACTGGGCAAATCCAGAGTAAAATTTGACTCTGGAAACGTTATCACCACTTGTTGGCTCTGATTTTTATACTCTTTCTTAAGCATGATGGATTGCCCATGAAAAGAACAAAAAATAGCATGACTTTGATGTCACCATGCTCTTTATAAAATCAGTTTATAAAGCAAAGAAAGCAAAATAATTTACAAAATGTTTATCTCAGGGCAGGGCTGAAGATAATTTTTCCTTCTACTCATATCTTACTTTTAGGTATTGCATGAATAGAGGATGCGTACCGCACCTGATTTTGGAGCTCAGGAATTTCATTCCTATTTACCGAACTGAATGGACGTCTTTCCTGAATCCTCTGTGTTGACATAAAACACAAAGATTGTTCCTGAACAGAGTAGTGTTCATTAAGAATCTTACTGTACCACCCATATAGCTACTACTTCCTGATACAAAGTAATGCCATTGAAAAGTTGCCTTAAAGTAGTAAGGAACAAGTGACAGAATTCAGAGTATAAGATTTATCACTTTGAAAAAGCATAACTAAAACCCAAACAAACAAAAGGAATGCTTTCTGCATTTCAGGTTCAGATTTCTTGAGTTGGAGAGCAGCCTTATTACCAGCCTTACCATGTTCTTCTTTGGCTGTACATCCATGAACCTTTAAACGCAAATGTTAAAGGCAGCTTTCATTAGCTGAATGCAGCTTGGATTTCAACATGACATGTAGCATCCTATATATAAAAGACTACTGATGGAAGACTTACCACAGCCTTAAACTCCTTACTAAATCCTTCTTCAGGAGCCGTAACATCACACTGACGTGCTACCTTTGTGTAACACCTTAACTGTCGCAATGCAACACGAGATTTCGGAGTAAGTTGTTTTTCAACATGATTCTTTTCGGAATTTGTGCGTGCAGCAGGTGAACTAAGCAATACTAAACCCTGCATTGCAGCAACAGAAGAAGAATCAACACGTTTCCTGCCTCCCACTGGCATTTGAAAAAGACAGGCAGGAGGAGGGATAGAAGGAGGAGCACGTTCAGGAATGTCCACACAAACATCTGATTTTTCAAGTGCAGGTGTCTGAAGTGGTTTTTGTTGAGTCAGATCAATTCCTCCTACTGGCTTAAAAGGTTTAAAACCAAATGATGAGAAAGGTTCAGCAACATTTGGCAGATGAAAGTCATATAGTGAAGGTGACTGTGTTCCAGATGGTCTCTTCATTGGGGTACTACTATGAAAACAGAAGTTTGATTTCAGATTGCAGACATTATGTTTAAGTTCAGAAGCATTCGCAAAGCCCTTTGCCATGCTTTTTGGTGAGATGCTCTTTTGAGTAATAGGAACTTCTTTGGATTGAAATTGGAAGCTTTCAGGTTCAACTTCCTCACTTAGGACATCCGCTGAACAAAAATCAGCTACTGCTGGGGAACATCCCTGTTTAGTAAAATCACAAGGAAACAAAATAATTCCAGAATTAGTAAGATACTTTTCTCTTTCTAATCAAAACGGTATTTCTTCTTATATTGCGTGCAGTATCATTATACTGTCATTCATATGTTCAAAATGAAAGTAATATATCAGTTAAGTTAAAATTTTCTTACCCTGTTCTACCTTACACTGAGCAAATTCAAAGGAAAATGTGACTGTGACAAAATACAACCAGAGAGGTATTTGACACTATTAAACCAAAAATTATTAATATAATGATGATTATGAGCCAAGAAAGTTCCACAGTACAATATTGTTGTAGAAACAAAGATAGATCTACACAAAGTGAAGCATGGATCCTGCTTGTGCTGCAGTTCTGTGTGCTGCAGTTCTGGCACACGTACCAGCTGAGGTCCAGTAGCTGCTGCATACAAGCTAGTAAGCCTGGGCTATACTGCCACCCAACACCAACGTAGATGTTTGATACTGTTCCGTCTAGGCATTCTTGGGCCAAAGGATCAAGAAAATGGCCTTATATGAGTTGATCTAAGTTGTAGAACACACAGTCAGATCCCATTCTAAATATCTCAGTCTTAATACATTACAGACTACAGGCTGAGATGATGCTCCCGAGTTGTAGTAAATGCACATCATGGTCATGCGCAATATAATTTAATAGACAAATAATGATCTTCTTGAGTGCCCACACAATTTGGAGATGTAAAGCTTTAATCTGTCAAGACTTTATGGACTGACAGAATTACACCTGCTGGCTAACTGATGCAGCTGTCTTGTCATTTCCAGTCAAGAGAGCCACCATAACTAGCAAACATCCTATGTCACTAGTTCAAGTTTCTCTCATTGATCCTCGTCATCCCAGAGACTATCCCACGGCATGCTAGCAATACGTCCTCTTCTTCCAGTCATGCTTATCCCCATTCCCAGTAGTCTCTCTGCTTTGTCTGTACTTCTCTGCTAGTGGAGACTTAGTTATGGATCAATACCTTGTTTTTCCTTGAAACTCCCTGCCTCTCCCCCCCCAGTTTCTTAGAGCTAAATTTAAGGCTTCATTTACACTAGCATATTCTTATAAGACAATGCTCTAACAGGCGTTAGTTCTGGAAGGGAGAAGAAGTCTGTCTTCTATTATATTGTCATATTGTCTCTCAAAACTTCTGCTACACACGATATTTTTAAGTGTACGTTATTCTGGGACAAGTTCCTCCAAATCTTCATGTTTATAGCAAAATTCCACACAGTAGTTGTGTGGCATTCATTATTTTCAAAATAAAAAAAACCCCACCAGATTTAATGAACAATTACTATATGGTTACACATACAATACGGCCCCACTTTTGGATAATATACCAAAAATATTAGCAATAAAAACATATATTAAATGTAATTACCAGGGCACCAAAGGCAATTCCTTCTGAAAATAAGCCAGATTCCATTGACTTTTGGTCCCAGTCCATGTAAGGTAAAAAATCTACATCTTCTTGAGCTATAATTTTCAGGATGTTTGGAGCATCAGCAGAACAATTTTCATTAGCATCCTAAATTAAAATGCATCACAGTTACGAACCTGAAAATTCTCTGGCATTATAGAGACAGTGCCTTTTTTTTTTTTTGTGAGTTTGAAATGTGTTGAAAACAGGGAATAAGCAGATAACACAGTACATTAAAAATAGTCAGTATATACAAAAACCAGTAAATGCAACTGCACATTTTTTACTGTACTGAGGGACAATATATCATCAGTAATTAGATTCATATGAAGTATAAAGGTGGACAGTGTATATTTGTATGTATAATTTGTTCAAATCCACATAATGGAAATAAAATCCAAATCTTGTGCACTTTTTGTCAGAATCCTATTCCCACCCTTTAAAGGAAAGCAAACATAAGCATTATAATAGATGTGCTTAAAATACATTGCATTCTGCAAAATCATGTTAAGATGACAAATTACGTAGATAATATAATGCCAAGCTGAATGGGCTAGTTTGGGTATTTCTGCATGATACTACATTGGGTGTGGAGGTGCTTTTGCCTTAAGATGTCTGCAATGCTTTGTTCCACTGGGTCAAAAAAAATCATCCTAGACTAGAAATGAGATTAAAGCTATTATATTTCCAGACATAATTCAAACATAACATTCTAGAAGTCTGTTTCTTGAGAGGCATCATATCAACAAGAGGAAACTGAATCTTTTGAAGAATTGCAAAAACAGCTATATAAAAATCAGAATGACAGATGATAATAATCTGTTGACACCCTTTGTAAACAACTAGCTCATGAAATCACACAGGTGTTCCCTTGCTAATCTGCAACATATTTTTTCTTCTGAATATAGCTTCTGTTATGTACCAGATGGAATATTCAGGTGCATTACAGAAAAATATTTCAATTGACTCACTTGAGTTACCTTATTTTGAAAAGTAGTCCCTGACCTGGGAATTTCTAATAACTTCACAGCATTCCATTTTATAGTTGCCTTTTAATCAGATTTTTTTTGAAATGCATGTCTATCTTTTGATATTTAACTGCAAATGTTGGAGTTGTTACTCAGGAAAGCAGTATTTCCAGAAAAATGTAACTCTTATAATGTACATATGCTACTGGTATTGGGGTTTTTTTTGGGTAATAGTGTAGGCATCAAGATGAAACAATAAAAATAGGAAATTTTTTTTTTTCAAGGTTTGCTTTCCTTGTGACTTCCACCTGACAGAGACTCCCCTAGAATGACTTTTGCCAATACAAAACCCATTAGTTCAGCAATCCATGGCTAGAGTGGCCATTTTGCTATAGTTTGGCATCCTTACTTTTTATGAGAAAGGGTTCTGTGGCTTATGCACCCAGGATTGAAGAGTACTCTTTGACCTATCTGGCTCCCAGAGCACTATCAGGAATTACAAACCCTTGTAGCAAATCACAACAGGAACACACAGATTGACAAAGTTTGTAAAGTAAGGACAAGCAATATAAGAGATAGAAAAGGAAAATAACTTGCTATATTGCAGAATCTCAAAAATAATAGTTTTAGCGCTATTGTAAAAGAATAATTGTTCAGCACAAGGAAGACTAGTTTTGATATGTACAAGGTTACAGAATTTAGAGTCTTTTGACAGAGAAGCTAGTGGGAACAAGATGTTATGTAGAAAACATACCCTTTTCTCAACCGCAACGAAACTTGTAAACTGGCTTATAACGGAGTTCTCCAAGCTGAAGTGAATAATCATGTTTTTCAAGACTTGTTTCTTCATCTAGATGGTTAAGTATTAACAAATGGAAGAGGAAGAAAAAATACAATCAGCTAAAAGAAACAACGTCAAAACTGAACACATACCTGTAAACACACTTATGCACTCTAAATAGGGACACGTAAAAGGAAGAGCTCGTGAGTATACTGGCCTGCCTAACTGTCTGCTCCCTTCTTTCTTCTACTCCCTCATTCAGCTTTGGGAAGGGATATGCATTTCCTCTAGTTACACTTCTTTGGGTTCTATCCTTCTTCTAGTGTAAGCAGCAGCTATGTTTTATAAGAATTAGTCTAAAGTCTCAAATAAGCCAAGGTGGCAATATGGTAAGTTTTTAACTAGCTAAAAGCTATTTTTTTAACAGATCATCAGATCATTAAGTCTATCTGTAAAACACAGGTCGTTATCTTCCATCATATCCTACACAAAAGCAATAGACTTTTGCCAGACTAATATGTATTGATCTTCATGAAACTAAAATGTTCTATGTCACAGGAAAAGAACAATCACCTATGGCCTACAATGACAGGGTACAGATTAGGAAAAATAGGCACACATTATGCAAACAGATGACATTCTTATAACGAAGAAGAAGAAAAGACTGTCCCAAAATTTTTCAAAATATTATCTGGGAGGTTATTACTATATTGTGATTTTAACATTAAAATATTAGGATTGCAACCTTCTAGTTATATTTACAAAGCAAGAAAAACTTCTCTATTCCACTGAAATGTTTCCTATTTAGCATTTTAAAGATATACTTTTTATTTCAGATTATCAAACCTCATGTTCTGTTTCATTCTCATGAAGAATCCCATCTTCATAGTCATTAATGAAAGCTCTTGCTGCAAGTTTGTGCAGCACCTAGAAGGAAAGCAAAACTGATGATAAAAGAGTAGTAACTTTTTTTTTTAAATTCTTCATTTCATTTATGATGAGGTCCAGCTTCAGGCAATTAACTTTCATATTTAGATAGAACCTCATTTTCTAAGGAAGGGTCAAGCTAATTCTCCATTCAAAAAGCAATCACAACCTGCACCTAAGGTACATTTTTATTTCACTTAATTTCAGCAAATTAAAAAATACCCAGGTCTTTACTTGTTGTGCACATTCTCTCTAGAGTCAAGGTGAGGGAAAAAAAAAAAGCGAGCAGGCAAACAAACAGAAAAATTCCACCAGACAATTAGTATCAGCTCAAAACAGCTAACTAAAACAGGCAGGAAGAATGCCCCTTCTGGATGTACACATTTTTCTCCAGTGACTGTAAACAAAGCCTGGACAACTACCTCAGATTTAAACAACAATATCTATATAGGTGAAGTAAATTAATCCTGTCCATAAAAATACAGAACTTGGGGGAAAAATAAACAGAGTCTAGACTGTTCAACTTTAAAAAAAACCCAGGTCTGCCAAAATCAAGTAATTTTTGATCTGAGGGGTTGTATGCAGAAAAGGGAAATACTGAACTGTCCTAACCAGAAATTTACTTTTTGAACTAAACTAGTCTTTCATAGAAAAGAAAAAAAAATTTGGTCTTTTCAATATGTTAAAGCTAACAAAGAGAGGGAGCTTTGTAGGGGCAATGTGGTAAAGTCCAGCTGTATTCCAGTTCCCATTGCCAAAATATTCCCACTGGCTCATTTTTGGAAGAATATCATAGATGCCAAAGAGAGCCACTTCTGAAGAAAACCTCTTAAGGAAATAGTTACTTTTTGAGCTAAGGTGAATTGGCAAAAGAAATAGGTAGGAATTCTCAGAGTTCATCTAAAGCATCAAGAATTAATAATTTGCTTCTAATTTTGACCCTGTTTTTTATCATTTTGCCATTTCAGTTTACACCTTTCAAAACTTACTTTTTTTTTTAACTGCACCCGGAATTTGTAGTACAGGTATTTTTATAAAAGCAAAAATTCACTGTGGCAAGCCAGTACATTGCTTCTGCTTGCCAATTTTATTTCCCTGTAGAAAAGCACGTCCCTGGAAACCAACTGTCCTTGTGGAAACCAACCCCACAATAGTAGCTTTCAAAGTAGATTATGCTAAATAGGGAACAAAATCATTCCTATCTGAAAACAAATCAGCTTCCCTTAGTGAGGAAGGGGTCACAGTCATATCAGAATTATTACGGAAGGTTGACACCTGTTAGATTTAATAAATGGTTCTTTTTAGTTTGTTTTCCTTTTCAAAATGGGGGCCGTGCTTTCTTCTGCATAAAGACGCCTTAATGTCATTGTTAGTGAAGCAGAGGAAAGGCTACTAACACTTTACTGTCTCTTTTTCCATACATTTCAAGAGAAGATAGACTAGCAAGGAGATGTTCCACATAACAACAATTTACAACATGAAAGATAAAGCTGCTGCAGCTTCTTCACAGAGGTTGCGTGAAGAACAGCCAATTCAAGGATAAAGCTAGAGCCCAAACAGGCTGCCAAAATTAGCAGCGCTTTGTATTGTGAGAAGCTTAAGTTTTGTGTTAGAAAGCACAGAGAAAGGTGACACTTTCATGTAAAACAGTTTCCCTTTAAAAGTCTGAAAACTGAAGGTCTGTGTTAAAACATCAGAAGCCAAAAAAAAAAAAATGCAAGAGCTGCTGAAAACAGGGTTTTCAATTCCTGCAAAAGAGCACGAAGGAGCACATAGTTGTTTAAAGCAGCTTGTCTCACTACAGCATGTACAAATTATGTTGGCCAAACTCACTGTTCCTGTCGTCTTCTGTAGTTCAGTAGTTGACACCACGGTCTCTAGTTCTTGGTTATTTATTACTGCTCTTAGGGTGGCCTAAAAGAAAAAAAAAACAACCCAAAACTGTTTCCTTCTCTCTCATGCTATGTTACCAGCACACGTGTGCTGTTCTGTCTCCCAAATATAACTCAAATCTGTACGTCTTTGCATGTCTAGGATTAGACATGTCCCCTAAAACAAGGGGACAATCACAAGTAAAGGAATCCTGTATTTATCAAAGCACAATGATATGAACATTAAATTACGTAACTTTTTCCTCTCTACTTTTTAGAGGAAGAACTAGTAATGACCATTAAATAGTAACTTAATTACATTTAGCAATGAAAAAGAAGCTAAGTGCATGCTGCAGAGAGGCTATATAATACAATATAATATTTCCTTTGTGATTGTTTTACAGTTGAATTTCTATCCAGTAGTGCATGTGTATTCCAGTCTTTACCTGAGTACAGTGAGGGATGAATCCATAGACAAGAAGTCTCTCATTGTTAAATAAAGACTGTATTTGAGCAGGAGCCTGCATTGGCTCTAGTGCACCTATATTAAACTGTTGCCATTTAATAGAAACTGAACTGCATCCTGGAGAAAATATTCTAGATACTTGGCTCTGTATCTGTGTAAAGAAGCAAAACAAGTTAGTAGGCTTTCAAAAGAAAAAATAATCTCTCAATAGAAAATTCCCATGTGAATGGAACTAATTTCTTTTTTTAACAACTAAAACAAGTCACCTACTATTACTCATAAAAATTAGTCTAATGTTTAGAGGTAATAAGGAGAATCACTCAGCCATTATTGTACTGGTTTCTGGAATAATGAGCTTTCTTTTAAGTAAAAACTGAAATTTGAGAGTAAAGTTTCTATTCATCAGGGTTGCCAAAGAGGCTGGGGAACATGGCCTGCTACACTTAGCACCATCTCCTATGTGTGAACTCTGAGAAATGCGAACAATTCTGCACATCTCCATGGCCTGCTCTGGATAGTTCTGCATATATCCCTCAAATGACAGCCAAAACAGCAAGAGGAGGAATCTGTGCTTTCATCCATTCCTCCATGCAAACATGTGCCAGATCCTAACCTTGCTGCAGCACCTTCTCTACTGTCCCTGTTCCAGGAGGGACCAGATTCAAGGCATAGGACAGTGCTGTAGACACATAAACATAGAGGGAAACTGCATAGCAGCACACATGGGGTCCTAGATTGCCTGAAACTTCTCGATGCACCAACAGTCAAAAGTTATGGAATACAATTGCCACAGGCCTCATCACCATAGCATGGACAATGTAGATGGGCTGTGACCTACGACAGAAGTAGAGCCATGTTCTTCCAGTCAAGCACAATTATTTATATAGCTTGACATTTTAAAAACTTTTTCCAAGTTGGTATCATTGTACTTACCAAGAAAAGTACAGGAGCCCTCTCAAAAATAATATAAAAAATAAGTCATGGCTTTCTTGTTTTCTTTTACCCATGCAGTGACCAGTCTGAATGAGAAGGTAGGGCAACTGCAGTGACAAATGCCCTCCCTTATCGAAGAACTGAGGGCTCTCTACAGCTCTCATACCCCTTTCTATAGCATGTGTTCTTGCTGAAAATAAGACACCTTTGTATTACACAAATTAAATACTACTCTCTCTCACTTAGTAACAATTTATATTTAAAATAAAAGAAGGCTTAACAGACAAGTATCTCGCCCTTCCACCTTCTATCAAATGTTTTTTGAACTATCTTATTGTAATAGCAAACCTATGTGATCCCATGAAAAGCAGCAATTCTCATTTTGATATACTGAAGATATGCAGTATCAGATATTGATATATCAGATAGATCACATACTGAATATAGTCAAGATTTATAAATGTACCTTTGCCTCCCAGTTATACTTTGATTTTGGGTCAAAGTATTCAAATGCTCCAGCACCGTATTGGGACAAAGATCTCAGCATGTGACGATTTGCTGTGGAACTAACAAAAAATTTCTTTATGTAATTATTGAATTAAATTGTTCATCTGATTCTATTTATAAGTATTTTGTTTTTAATTAGTACTGCAAGTTTTTTGAATCTGAATTTTTAAAATTCTATCCCTTTTTCAGGGGACAGACCAACTGAAAGCAACTGAGCCACTGAATGTGCTGCTATATTAGAGATTTCCTGACAACATCAGAGGAAATTACATGGTACATGAGTTTTTACATGTCACAGTGCAGGGCTGTGCAGAGAAATTAACTTAGTTTCAAACACCAATAAGACTGCATTAAAATGATGCTGATGTTGAACTAATTAGCCTCAATCTCAGCAGAGCTATTTAGCATGGACACAGCTACCTCACAGCCAAGTCCAGTGTCAGCTAGAGAATGGTACTATCTGAACAACATGGATATAACCAATATGGTAACACTTACTAGCCTGATAGAACAGCAGGCTCTGCTCACCAATAGTCTGACTATTGTGAAGCTGCTTCGTGGGTATATACACAAATGAAAGCTTTATAGAGGATTAAAGGAGAACAATTAAGCAGATGAGAATTCTTTTGGGCGAGAAACAGCCCAGTATGTCTTGAATTTTTGTCAGACACAAAGTAGACTCAACAGGACCATAGAACCGTCTTAGTGCCCTAGTGAATCTGCACCAAAACCCCTCAAGGCAAAATTAAATAGTACAATTGTCTCTATGCTAAGAACACATAATATCTTGGGTTTAAAGTTTACTGGTCTTTTAAAAGTCTTTTTTATATATTTTGCTGCCTTGTGCAACTCTGTAAAGTACAAATCTTGCACTATTTAAAAATAGGGTTTTTTATTTACCGACAGAGAATTATCACAGATAAAACAGATGTAGTATTCTCTGTTAATTCAGCCTTCTAGAAAACATTCTGTCTACGCAAGAGTATGAACCAGAGTGAACTTCTGTTTTACGCCTCTTCACCAGGATTACTTTGCCAATGTAACACGTTAAATGCAGACCCTGCCTACTGAAAGCAGATTGTTGCACACTAGCACATTAATGTTAGTGCCCATGAGGAACCATTGAAGCTATGCCCTCTCAGACTACCAGCACTGAGGTAAGGCATTGCCAGGCATAGTTCCATCATATCAATAACCAATAATCAATGACCCTAAATATGCTGAACAGGAACACAACAGGAATGTATGTATGTTGAAAATAGTGTCAGTGTGCTGCTAATGGACACATACAATCTGCTCTTTATTATGTGGTGATGCAAATTCTATTCTAATCATAACATATGATTACTCTGAAGTGCCCTGGGATGTCTGGTACCTGGCCTGAAGGGTGTGCTTGCTTAGTGCTGGGAGAGGGCCCACAGCCGTCAGATCTAGGGAAAGTTGTCAGAGCTATGGTGAAGGTGTCATAAAACACCAAAAAAGCTCTAGAAGAACATGACCCTCACCACTGGTCTTAATTATGATGTATCCTTGACAAGCCTCCCAGGAAATGGTAAGAACCTCCCTGAACCTTTCCCATTTTTATGTGAAATATGTAACTGTCACCCTTTTTTTTTTTTCTTTAAAAAGTTGTTTCAGTCATATATATCTTTCCAGTTTGTTGTTACTGAGAACAGTCAAACTAGGTCACAATTAATTTCAGTGAGGTTTTGCCTGTTCCTCTGATGGCTGAGAAGTCTAGTGCTTACTTTGTCTTTAAGTAATTACCTTACAAACAAATGAAAATTAAATAATAAAATGATACAACTATTAACATTGCATTGAAATTGCAGTATTAAAATGAGACTACACCAAAACATGAAATGCAAAATTTTAAAACATTAACTCTTGTATTGTCCAATTAAACTCTTAAATAGTAAAGTAGTTATAATGAGGAAAGATATGAATAGGTAAGACTACCTGGACATGGAATTAACGTTATTGTAGGTATCTGATCTTTGAAATTCCTTACATATTTTCCATTCCATTATTAAAGGTACACAAACATTTGTACATTTAATCTAAACCTACATATACATTTAAGACAGTACATTCAGGCATCTGACAGTTGTAGCTTATTAACCTCTTACTTTGAATAAATTATCAGTGATTTTAAACAAATGCAATTGCTAGCTAACTTTGTACTTACCCAACACCACATGTAAATAACCTTGTATGTTGGACATTGTCTTTCACAATCTGGAAAGTCACACTCTCATTCTGAATGTGTCCATCTGATATTAGAAGAATGTTACGGTGTCCTTGAGAAGGAAATAGCAGGCTTAAGTAATGTAAGGTCTTCCATAAATCAGTGTTTCCCAATGTTGCAGTAGCAGACTGAAAAGTCAAGTATTACAATTTTAGTTTGAATTTATTTTTTCCTAAAATAACATATAATGTATAATTTAATATTTATTTCATTACACATGACTCCTGGTTTCCAAATATAAATTATTACTTCTCAAGTTTTATTTGCTCCTACTCTTCTATAATTACTATTGGAGATAGAGCTTAAGGTCCATCTAGTCCTGTATCTTCTCTGGCTCAGGCAAAAGACACAGGCAAAAGAGGTAAGAAAAAAAAATAAATTCTTCTCCTACATTATTTGCAAAGCTTTTAGTAATCAGTGGTTTGGGGACTTCTTGAACTGGTGTTTTCATCCAGACCATTGCACCTAAAAGCTATTTACAGCTCTACCTTTTAATTTGCCTGACCCACTTTCTGAACTGAATTACAGTTTATCCTCTACATCAAGCACAACAAGAAGTTCTGTTATTTATTATGCATGAAAAGGACTGTGTAAGGATTCACGAGAGGCTAAAAAAAATCAGGACGAATCCGCTCCTTGTACAGTAGGTCTTCCATATATCTGGCCACGTTTGTTTTGTCTCCCTACCTCTTCAATTTGAGATGGAGCGACCAGAAGTGCATACAACATTCAAGAAACCACAGCAATACAGATTTACACAGCTACCTAACTGTGTACCTTTTTGATTGCTACTGAACACTGGGGTACCATTTAAGAATGACTATTCACAGTGGCTCCAGCATCTCTTTTCTGGGTGAAGCCCGATCTTGTACAGGTATAGTTAGTGTTGTTTTCCCCTCTGTGTTACTCTGCACTGATCACCATTTGCATTTTAACATCCCATTTTCAAGACACCCATTATATTAGTATCTTAGACATTATGCTCGCATCAAGGAGCTTTAGTTACAAATTGAGAAGCCTAATTCTAGCACTCACAAGATACGGTACTAACCAAAACCTATTGTCCTAAGTAGTCTACAGCTGATCTTTTGGTGCCAAAAGCATTTTCCTTTTCACTGAAAGTCCTTTGGCCTAAGTGCTGCCTTCACTTACAAATTATAGATTTCCAGAGGGAAGTCAATCATTTCCTCTCTTTCCACTGTGAGTAGGCAATAAGAGGTATGAAACTCCAAAAGATAAATTTAGGGGGAAACACTGAAAAATGTCCTAACACTGATTGATAGCTACTCAGCTTCAAAACAACAACTTAAGCAATCACTTAAAACCAAACTGAAATTAATATTCAGACGTGGCTGTGCTTGTTACTAGGGAAAATAGACTTCAAATAGACTAAATTACAGAAAAATCTTAGAAAATGGCCTAAAGAAAAAGAAAAAAAACATAACAGAGTTTCACAATGATAAGTATCCCATACAAGGAAGCATTCTTTAGAATACAACCAAACTCATTTACTTACTGTAATAAACTCCTTCAGTGATGCCAAATCATTTATGATGTTCATTGAACAAGAAGAAAATTCTGTGAAATCTGTGAATAAATATTAAGAGCACTGAAATATTAAGTATGTAGCAACAATATGGAAACACAAGTTTAAGTTTTATGACTGGAATATCAGAGTAGAAGTATTCCATACTGCTACACGTTCCTGGTTGCAGCTCAGTGTATTATGCTGGTTTGATAATAATGATACACATAAAATTAAGCCATGACAAGAAGGTAAAAGGTTGCTCTCAGGTAAAAAGGAAATACAGGAACTCACTTGTGCCAAATTTGACTACATTCACTCTTTGTCTGACCCAAAATAGTTCCAAAACATGTAAAGCAATCTGCTTTGCTTGGTGTAGAGCTGAACCTGCCATAGAATTCGAGCAATCTAATAAAATAATAATTTCACTGGACAGCTCCTGTTCTTGAAATGCTGTTTCAAACTCTGGTTGGAATACAAGCATGCAAGCCTATAGAGGGAGAAACAAAATAATCAGCGCAGTGGACAAATACTATTTCATTAGAAAAGTACCCAAGCATCTTCATTTTTCTTATTATGAAATGAGCAGATATAGCCATATTTCAAAGTTTTAACAAATATATGTCATTTACTCTTAATGCTCGAAAGGTGCAAATTCCCTGTCCTTTACCTATATCCCAGGTCTCATATGAAAAACTGAAAAAGGAATTTTGTGGTTTCATGTTCCTATCTGATTCACTCTTCTGCAAACAGCACTGGATTCTCTTCTACAAGTTACAAAAAAAAAAAATCACAGATATCACCTTTTATAATCATCACTGCCACCATAAGTTTGTGAGAAGTACTAGAATTAAAAAAAAATGTAAACCAGAAGTGCATATTGTCCTTGCCATGAACAGAGATGAAATAAAACCCAAAGGCTTTCAAAAGTGAAACAATTAAATGCTTGAAGGATTGAAAGTGTTTCCAATAGGGAAGAAAAGATTTGCACTTTGGAAACACAAATAGGAATCTCTTTCTTTCTCCTTTCCTTGGGAGAATACCAGTATTACTGCAGTCAGCGGAAAGTAATCCCCTAAACTAATACATTTAAACTAAGCAACTCTGATTAAAAGGCAGAAAAATAAAAGACATCATTGTAGGAAGGAAAACAATCTTATCTGTCCTTTTACTTATTTTAATCAATTTCCACATTGGATTGACAGATTAAAACACCAAGACTTTACATTTCACCTCTGCAGCATTTCATCTTATTTAAAAAAATAAATAAATAAAAAGGTGCTGAAAATAACTGAAAGTGCCAAGAACTTCACAGGTAATACGAGAGATTGAAAAAGCTTCCAATAACCAGGAATAACATGTTTTATGATACCCTTTTAAGTTTTAAATGCATTTCTCAGGCAAGGAGTACTGTGCATGAAGGTAAAATGGTTGAACTAATTCTTCCATTCCTACCTAACCTTTTATTAATGTTTTTCAGTGGTGATAATGAGCTCATCTGTGACATAACCACAGCTGGATTCTGTTTCTGGGTGATCCAGAGTGCTAGAAGTGGTAGCTATGTCTTTTTCATTTATTAGTGAAAAAGAAAAGAGTAAAATGCCTTTGAGAATAATCACTGCAGTAGTGATAGTTACAACAGAATGCAACATCTTCTAGGAAGGCCAAATGCCTTCAAATAAACCACTGACAGATTCTGTAAATATTTGTAAGTTGTAAACACAGCCCTACAAATTTAATGATTTAAAATTTTACTTATTTTTAATTAGAATAGTGATTGCATGACTCTGAAGCTACTTAGTTCCAGCCATGATTTATTTGTTCACTTCCACTGCTGCAAATGCAACATCTGTATCAAACACTGTAGTTGCATTTCTATGAAACACAAACAGCAGCACAACAGTTAGGAAAAAAGTGTTTTACCAGAAGTGATTGGACACTATGTTGAACCATTTACTCTCTTCCAAGGCAAGTGATAAAACAAAAGCAACAAGATTCTATGTGACTGAAAACAAAACTCATTTCTGAAGAATACTCAGCTTAATAAACCAGATCAAATTAGCACTGTCCAGGTGTGAAATTGTTCTTCATCTTTTACCCATCAAAACTAAACTGTTCCTGTTTATTATGTTTTAGCATATTCAGTATGATCTCATAAACAGTACAAGTTATACAGTACCTCACTCATTTTGTTGGGATGCTTCTCTACCCACATTCGAGGTAGGTAGACCTGAGAAATCCAGATATCTAGAAAAAAGCCGCTAATGTCCAAGGAGCTGTTATCCACAGTCTTAATTACAGCCTTGCAGTCTGTTTTCTAGAAAAGGAGGGAAATAATAGGCATTTAAATATTTATTTAATAACAATATAGTGAATATTTGCTTTGTGAGAACAGGGAATGTCAACAGCGTATTTAATAGGGGTAGTCCCAAAGCTTTTTGTCAAAAAGGCTACAGAAAGTTTACAAGGTACAGTTTCTATTTACATATTACATTCTTTAAAGTATCATTCATTTTTCTGAACGTATTTTTAGATAAGAAGACAACGAAATCAGAAAGGCTTCAAGCACAACAGACAGTTTCATCTGAGGGAAACAGAGGACCAAACTATTTGTAGAATGAACAGTGCAGAAAGCCAGACAGATCTGGCACAAGCATTTTCTAGGATAAAAGTTCAATTTTAAATACACAGCAGAACTGCCAGGCAGAGGCATAGTTAGAGTGAAATTAATTTACCTTTATTTTAAGTTTATGTGTCCAACTACGTATGCATTCAATACTAGATGGCATTTCAATAGACATATTCACGGAAAATCCACTAAATAAAGAGAAAAGAAAAAAACAACTGAATGGCACTGCAGGGAAGATGATGTTTAGTGTGCATGCCATGACTTCTCCATGAGAAGGAACTATGTTTCCTGTCCTGTTTACCTCTTTGGATGAAAGCGGAGAATACTGAGCTAGTTAGACAAGTTTGTGTCCCTAGGAATCCCCTGCTCATTCACTACAGGTATTCATAGTTTAACAGGTTAGAAGGGATCAAAAGGTCATGTGACATGATCTCCTCTGAAAGACATTACATAACATCTTCACCAATTATCTCTTCATTTAATCTAATTTTTATTTTCTAAAGCAAAGCTTCATAACAGACAGCCATACTGGATTTCAGAGAAGCCAAGTTCATCATTTTCCATGTCTAACTATTCCAAACCTCACTGCTAAAACTGCATATCTTTTTTTCTTATTCAGCTTTAATTTCCAGTCTTTGCTTCTTAGTTTAGTTCTGTAATGACATTAAAAAGCAATTTGGTAAGTGCAATCATACCAGCTACATAAAAGACACAAAGATACCATATGATGTCATGGAATCACATTGCAGATGGAGGTCAATGTGTGTGGCTTTTGTTGGGTTTGGGGGATTTTATGTTTTGGTTTGCCTTTTTTTTTTTTTTTTTAAGATCCTCCGATTGGCATTTTGACAATTTCAGTCAGTCTTGCCTGACAAAGTAAAATAATCTTCTCTCTTCACTAGTCCTTTGTTTGCATATTTTGTGACTGCATTAGCCATTTTTGCCCCAGTATCACAGTGGTTGTTCATTCCAGGTTGTTGACTCACTGGGTGAGTAATAAACCCTGGGTTATTGGTAGTCGCTGTCTTCCAGGATATAATCTCCCAAGATGTAGATGTGTAGGGCTGCAATCATTTCATCTACATGTAGCCATGCATTTGTCAGTCTTACACCATTTTTGTTACATGGGCCTATTTTAATCCATATTCTTGACTACTGTGAGTCCTAATCTCAATTATTATTAATATACCATGAATCTCTATCCTCCGCATATGAGCAATTATTTTCTATTTACAGCCACATGTCCACTATCCTTAAGATGCCTGTGGATAAAACATGCAATACACAGCACAGCCCCAAAGTATCTGCAGCAAGAAACAGCCTGCTGCCAGAAAAACATATTATGTTATTAATATATTAGTAAGTTTGCAGGTAACTTGGATGTCTTTGTGCTAGTCCTTCTAGAACCTGAAGCTGGAAAGAGT